GTGTTAGGAAGGAAAGGGAACCGATTGAAAGATGCTTCTGTGTGTGTGCTGGGAAAACTGAAACCATTTGTTCTACTTCTTTATAATATTGTTGTTTTGCTTGGTTTTAAATGCTCTTTCCATGTGGAAAGTTAGAAGCCATTGTACTGACACGAAGAACTCCACAGATAACCACTTTTGGAATACGATTCCTTGAATTTTTTTCAAAGCGTTATTTATGAAAGAAATAAATTTCACATGTAGTAAGCAAAATATGCCTAAGTTTCCACGTATTTTATTCAAGAATTATGTTTAATCTGTATCATTTTTACTAGCTTAGTTTTGAGGGCAGAAATTTTTTGATCAATAAAAGCAATGGGCAACCCTTTGTCACAAATACAGTTATAAAATTTCTGTTGGGGAAAAAAAGAAAACAAACAAACAAAAAAACACACACCACAACTCTGTTGGTTACTCAGTCTGTCTTTCCCTACGAGGGGGAAAAACCTCTACCTTTTAAGTACAATCTTCTCCATGTTCTACCACATTTAAGAATTAGACAACTTTTAACTTCTCTCTCTTCATAGTTCTCGTCCAACATGCCACTGCTCTTTACTCTCTGCTCAAGAATTGTAAGGCAGTAACAGAATAATATTCCCTAAACATGTAACAACTATCTTTATCAGGTTTGCTTTATAAGATAAATAGCTTCATAAATTAATTAAGAAGAGAGACCATATTCATCTCAGAAAATATTCTGTATCCATTTTCTATGTTTATATAATATCCCCAGAAATAAACTTAGTATCTTGGTTAAAGGTCAAGAAGAAAATATTGTTTACATTAAATTTTCAGATCACATCTTCAAATATAGACAGTTTCTTGGCATATTTACAAGTGAGTCTGTCCCTAAAATTTTCAAATATACTCAACACTTCAAATCTTGGTTGCAGGGGGTGAAAAAAAAAGATTTTTTTTTATAACTGCCTAACATGCACACTCCTATTTTCCTTTCCCCCTCTTTTTAAATTATTACTATTATTAATTTTAAGGAAAGTTTACAGACTCTTTAGATTTCCATTTATTCACTGTTGCAATTTTTTCCCTGTCCACTGCTCCCCCGCCCCTCCAGTTCACTCTTCTCTTTGAAAAGTAAAACTCTTTCATTATTATACAATCCCTCCCCCCAAGTCTACTCCACTGTGCAGCTTTCGTTCTGAACTCCTGTCATGACAATAATACCTAATCATAAAGCCCTTTTAAACAGTTCTCTCCCTCATCTGTTTCAATGCAGTATACACAACTTATCCTGTTTTCCTTTTCAAGAGTGAGTCAGTATGTTAGGAGTCCAGAGATGAAAATTCCTTTTTAAATTCAAATTTTAGCTTGAAACTCCAAATACTTTATGGATAAAGATTTTTAATCACATGTTTAGTGTAGTTTTCAAAGGGAAGAAGAGGTACATATCCCTTTTCAAAGTGAAGACAGACATAGAATGGTGAATTCTCTTGTCATACAGCACAGTATGCAGCACCTCACACGTCCAGGTTTTATCCTAAACCTACTTGTGGGCTGTATCTATCACACAGCATTGTGTCTGACCACTTCATTCATTCCACTTCCACTGGTGAGAATATACAGGGGCTTCAGAACTTTATTGATTCTAAGTGGCCTCTATTTATGGTTTGAAAAATATTTAGACTCTTATTAAACTGATTTTTGGTAGAATCATGTTGTTTTCTATGGTCAAGTTTTGCTTTCATGTAAACAGGCAAAGACTAATAAGAACTTTGGCCTGGCTTATTGATCTGTACAGGTTAGCGAATAAAAGCAAATAGAAACAAACCAGAGACTGATATACAAACTAACCACTCTAGCTAGATATAACTAATAAAATATTTACCTTGTAAAATGCTCGTTTAATTTTTTTTTTTTTTTGCAGTGTGATAGCTGATAAGTGAGAGCTAGGTAGCTAGAGTGGTTGTTTGTGCAGGTTTTTAATTCCTGTATAGACACCCACATTTAGAATACTTTCTGCCCAGTCTGACTTGTCATTGTTAGAGCAAAGTAGATATTATCTTCTCTTGACTATTGTTTGCTTGTTTTTGTAATGGTTTTTATTGGGAACATTAGACATTAAACATACCTTATGACGGTTAAGAATTTCAAAGAATGCCTTCTGTATGAGAGGTGAGCTCAGAAACCAGACAGTAGAAGTACTCTCCAGATTGCAATAGAGTCCTAGCCTCCTTCACCGAGGACATCAGAAGACCGTTAGCTGGGTTAGCATCTCTTGGAGACCCCCTCAGAACAGAACATTAAAGAAAATGAGCTATGTAGGTGGAGATAAATTTGGTCACAGAGGTATCTGAGGCACTGTGTAGAGCAATGTAAACATCAAACCACTAGAAACACTACAGGCATAGTTTATATATCAAAAAAGGATTTTCGTGTACGTTTTGGACATTTTTCCAACACACAATATGATTTGCTACAGCATCTGGGATATAATCGGTAACAGGACTCATTTGGGGGAAAGTGCATGCTATTGTGGGGTGAAAGGGATCCACAATTCTTGATCAAAGCCATCTCTATACTTCATGGCACCAGATCAATCTGAAATTGTGAAGTGAATTATACAAGACTTGATTTAGACATGAAGGGAGAAGGAATTTCTACTAATGGCTGTATGGAATTGAGAGTCAGATGTCAGGGGTTTTTTTTTTTAAGAGAGAAAACTATTTTTTATATCAAGTATTTTATTTTATTAACAAATAGAATGTTTTTAAAGTAACTTTTTTTCCCTCTGCATTAAACTTTACTCCTCCTGAGATTCTCACTCTGTAATTATTTTTACTGACAAAGTTCTATAATTATGGGCATCACCACCCTCTGTTTCATGCTGAAACTATCAAATAACATCATCTTAAAATAGACCCTCAATAAATGCTCGTTAAAGAACTGACAATGACAGAATCTTGGCACCAGTAAATCAATCAAATAGCTGAAAAGTGAAAACACAAAATGATATATCAAAAATAGAATACCTTTAGGGCTTTGTAAAGGCCAAACATTCCCTCTAGGGGAAATGCGGAGGGGGTGTGTGTGTGTCTTTTTATGGATTAAAAAAAAAAAGAAATTGCTATTATGATCACAAAAGTTCACCACATTTTCAGAAAGCAATTGTCATATTTGCTTCTGCTCATTTTTTTTTCCTACTAGAAGGAACATCTGAATGGTTAACTAACAGATTTCTATTTTCATGACACATTGATGTCAGGTAGAATACCATAAAGGAAACCCTACTGGCAGATATATCCAACCATGACTGATCGTGGAGGCTGGCACGGGGCTACAGAAAGCAGCTGAACCGAGGATTTCACGAGGTTAACCCCAGGAAAGTCTCCAAGTTGCTATTATTCATGACATATTTCTGGGTCTTTTCCATCATGACAAAAAAAGACATTTCCTTGGAAGGGGTCTGTGTTTCTAAAATTGATCCCAAGCCAGGTGGAAGTCAGTGGAGATGGATTGAAAAGGGGGGGTGGGTGGAGGGCTATAATTTAGGGTTTCCCATGCTTTTTGGTAACTTTACAAAAAAATTGCAGGTGGTAAAGAAAAATGATGTTTCTTTGGCAAAACCATTTCAAATGTAGAAGCAGCTAGTGGAAAAATTCTATTCTCAGGAGAAAGAGAGAAAATGACGTGTTTTCCTCTGCTATAAGAGAATACAGGAGTCTGAAGTTATTGTTAAAGAGTCTGAATATCTCAATAATGGTCAGTTTGATAGGAATGACCTAAATTGAGATAAAAATGGCATAATATTAGTTTAGCTATGATAATAAATAGGCCAATGGAAATTACATCTGTGGTCATCTTAGGGAAGAAAAGTAGTTACACATGAAAAATAAAGCAATTAACCAAATTTTTGGTAACCTAAGAGGCAACTCCATCCATACCCAAATGTAGTTGAACCATACAGATTTTGATCTTAGTATGCAATACATAAACAAATACTACATATTTTGCAACACATCCAAAGGCATCATCAGTGCGTATGTGATTAGTGACATGAAAATTCAGAGTGACCATGGACTTGACCAATCACAATTCTGAGATTACTTATCTTTTCTATTGAAGTTTCCATTTCTTACATTGATTAAACATCAGATGTGTGGGTAGTTGGAGGGGGAAGAAATGTTTTGAGGTTTCAAATACTCTCATGATTTAAAAAGAAACCCACAGTGAAAAGTCACATTCTGTTTCAATTAATTTAGGAGTATCTTACCTAAAACAAAACAAAACAAATTACACTAGATTTTCAGAGAGATTTAATAATCTGCAGTCTTTAATTTCCCCTTGTGATAATTTACTGACATTTGCTAAGGAAAAAAAAAAAGAAAATGTGATGCTGAATCCTGAGCCAATTTTTAAAAAATTGTTTGAAATGGAAACCTCTGGTGATTCTCTTAATCCCAGACTAGAATGTCAGCTTCTAACTGACTTGAGTGAAATTTACTGTCAGATATAGATACATTTCATTTCAACTGTCAAAAGGCATGTTCCTGTATTTGTGTGGTTCTCCCCCCTGCCCCGCCAGGTCATTTCTGTTTTACTTTGTCCTCTATAATTCTCTTCCTGCCCACTATTTACTAAAAATATAAAATGGCATTATCCCAGAATCCCCTCCATTTTAGCAAAACTCTGACATTCATCCTCTCATAGCTTTATCAATAATGTAGTCATCTGGGGATAGCTCACTGGGTGCACTGTTCTTCTTATGTGAAGACACAGGATTCTTCATTATCTATCCATTTTTAGTGGAAGAGAAAGAAAAACCCAATGATATGAATCAGATTCTATGTAAGAAGGATACCGACACCCCATCTGAAAAATAACAACAACAACCATCTTTTTAATGTTATCATTTAGAAGTCTTTTCCTTGCTTTAATATGCCAGTGCAAATTTTGACTGAAAACTCATTAGCATTTCTTGTACACTAGCTTATGTATGCATCGTTAGAAGGAAAACAAATACTGAGCATCCTTCATGGTATGATCTCAATAGATCTTTGATCTCCTCTGAAAGGGCCTCAGGGAAAACCCTGTCACTCTTTCAGACACTCTTGACTATTGTGGTTTCTTAATATAGATTTTTCTGATAGAAAAACGAAGACATGCCTTTGTGCATGGTCTACTCAACAATTTTGTGGTGGGTCACCATTGGTGAAAGGGCTGTTTGGCTGGGGGGCTCTTGGTCAGTTCAAGTATAGCAACTAGCAGGCACATTTTTTCTCTGCTGGCTTCTCTCCATCCAGCTTTCCTGAGTTCCCTCCATTGGCAGTGTCAGGGACTTGTGTCTTCTCTACGCACTGTTCCATCCGCTTCATTATTAAGTCCAGAAGGGTCTCCACAGCTTTCTCCACATTCTGTCCAGTTGCTGCGCTTGTTTCAAAGTAGGGTATGCTAGGATAGAAAAGATGACAGGGATTGTTGAGAAGGAGACATTGGAAAAAAAAAATAAATAAACCCAGCCGTACAGATGAGTCACAGAGACACAGAAAAATACGGCTGACTGAGAAACTCAGAGACCCTCAGGAATTTGCTGACTCATCTGGAAGACATCTTAAGGTTTTTTACTTAGTAAATAAAAGCTGAAGACCTGCTCGTTAGTAGAGATACAGCTGTTTGATGAGCAAAGAAATGAAGACGAGAGAAGCTCAGGAAGTTGAAGCCACGCATCATCACTCTCTCAAAAACCTTGTTATACGACGTGGAGTTGGTACCGACTCATAGCTGACTCTCAAGTGGGTTTTCAGAGGCAATAAACTGCATGGGAGGAGACTGCCCAAATTTCTTCCTTAGAATAGCTAGTGGATCTGAACTGTGTGCCTTTGGGGTGTCAGGGCAGCTTCATACCACTAGGCCACCGGAATGATCACTTTGCATTGAAATGTCACATTCTTCCAATCAACTACGCAGAAATCAAAGTTACAGCATTTAGGCACACATTGAACATGATACTCATGTCAATATAGTCTATATGTGTTTGGAGTTCATAATTCCAAGAAGATACATAGATATATAAATCTTTAAGGATCCTAAGTAGACTCTTTAAGTTAAAAAAAAAAAGACATATGATGAAACTGTTTTAGATCTCTTAAATAATGACAAAACCTGCTTTGGAAGAAAATTTTATGAAGGTGCTTAAGACTTTTTAAAGAAAAAAAATCTGAAATTATTTTTACTGCTCATTGTGTGCTATGAGATTAATAGCAACTGAAAGCTCATTATTCCCCTAGCAAGGTCTAGGGCAACGCTGGGACTCTCCACCCGCAGCTCTTTATGCTTTCTGACCACTACACAGACTCTGCTTATTTTTCGTAGGATATAATGTGACTAGAAGGAAAAGTTGGTAAGGGTTTTAGAGTGGAAGGTCAAGGTAGGCAAGCTGAGAAAGAGAAAAAAAAAGAAACTTGGCTCAGTTGGGCATGGTCTGACGTGGTAAATCAAAGGCGTTGAGACTTTTTTCCATGTTTAGCTTTTTTATGACTCAAAATGACCATGAAAAACTACCTTATTCTGTTATTTCCATTTTTAGGTTTTTCTATGTTTTCTTAATCCAAAATAATAGATGAAAACACAGGCACACTTAATAAATATGCTAAGGATTGGGATGCAAGATTTAGCAAATAAAAATATAAGATATTTCGTTAAAATTTTCAGATATACAACCAATATTATCTTAATCTCTGCCGGAGAAGGATGGACAATCTTCAATGTGGTATCATAGGCCCTTCCAGAACCTGATGACTGACATGGATTATGGCCAGGGATTTGGAGAGCAACAAGCATCATGGGAACAATGTAGGGGTCATCTTTGAGCTGGTCACTGCTGTTTCTGACTTTTCGGTTCAAGAGATTTGTTGCTATTTAATGTACTCACTGCCCTTGTTTTCTAAGAGAGAAATTCAATTTCTACAGAGATATCAAGCACAATTTTCCCCTTTTCAGTTACTCTTCTGGTCCACTCAAGTTCAAGAAGTGTCAGCTGCTATTATTTTAATTGTTATTATGAACCATTGAGTCGGACCTGACCCATTATTGACCATCCAGTGAGTTTTTAGAGGCAGTAAATCACATGGGAGAAGACTTCTCATATTCATCTTGCAGAGCAGCTGGGGAATTTGAACCATGGGCCTTCAGATTGGCAGCACACTTTCTTACCACTAGGCCACCAGAGCTCCTTATTTCAAGAAAAGCATTGTATGTTTTCTCAGAGAGATCTTTTAAATTTATATACTATCCTTGATTCAAGGAGATTCATCCTAGGCTAAATGTTTCCTTTTGCTTTTGCATTTAAACAGCAGTTTGCAAGGTCAGATGACATCTCAATAGAACCAACCTACCCGTATTTGTCTGCCAGGTCTTGGGCTTGCCGTTCATTGACTTCCCTCTGGTCTGGCAGGTCTGCCTTGTTGCCAATTAATACTATGTCTGGATTTTCACAGTAAGCATTTGCTTGCAGTTGACCTTGGAAAGGAAGCAGGTGGAACCAGCAGATTAGTAATAAGTGGTACAAATTCTACATTCTTTATCTAATCATTCATTTCCAGTGTAGCTCCTTTCTCACCATCTTAAATTATTCCAGTCACTTAACTTTTCTCAGCATCAGTTTCCTCACTTGTAAAGTGGGGGAAATGTCTCACAAATTGCAGACTGTGAAGATTAGAAACGACATCAATATGAAGCAACTAGCTCTCTCTGAGCTCTCCTGCATCCATCCATAAATACCTTTTGAGGAGGACATGCTGATTAGACCACTTGTTCCTCAAACATAAGTGAAGATAAGAGAATATGAACTTAAAGTACGTTCATTTGTCATCTCTTTCAGAAGGATGATATATTCCCCTCTCTCAACATCCAAATGACTTAAAGACAGTACAACATTTCAACCTATCACAAATTCATGGAGAACCAATTTTAACACATGAGTAATTCATTTTACTCCCTTTCACCCAGGAAATAGTGTTCAAAAAGAGGGGGGAAAGGAATGGAGAGAATAATGGAAAGAAGAAAGGAAAGAAAAAAAGGGCAAATGGAGGAAGGAAGAACAGAAAGGAGAGAAGGATAGAGGAAGAAAAGAAGAAAAAAGGAAAGAAAGAAAGTAAAACTCAAAACTTCTGAGACCACCCAGGCTTCTGGAATCACAGGGGATATCTTAATGTGTCTCCTAAGGCACATTGAGAGCTATCTTGCAGGGACTAGGGGTGGATAATAAGGCTTTTCTTGTAGCACTCTTGATTTGGGTGCTAGAAATGAGAATATTATTAGGCACAACAACTAATTATCATAAATCCCATCAAAATCCTCCTAGAGGTTTTTAAAAAACAAAGGAAAGTCTCATCTGTTTTGAAAAAGGCTAAATGAATCATTGTCTGAATGTGCCAATACCTCAGACTCTAATAATATCACCAAAATTTGGATAAGGAAATGCAATAATAAAAGGAAATAGAGACAGATCCTAGAATCAACATTCATTTGAGGGAGTAGTTAAGAAGGTCAGAATGATTTCCCCCCCCCCAGTGTTGACAATGTGCCGTTGAGCTCATATTGAATAGTGTTTCATATACGTATATGTATGTGTGTAGACACATGTATATGCACACATAAAATAATCTACAATAATAATAATAAATATATTAGTATATCAGTAGGAAGTATGTCCTTTGTGATGCTCGGACGATGGTGGTGTGTGTAGCTGCACTTTAACCCAAAGGCAGCTCCTCTCTGGTAGTTTGAATCCATCAAGCAGCTCCTTGGCAGAAGAAGGGGCAGTCTCCTCCCACATGACTTACAGCCTTTTTTAATCTGCTGGAGGGTCTGCTGTACATTAGTTTCAATTTGAAAGAAATGAGGAAGAGACTCACTCTGTATCAGGCATCTTTTCGCCCTCTGGAGTATGGTGGTAGAACCAACTAGATGATGTAGTCAAGAGTTATAACACAAATAAAGACACATGTAATGTAATGAAGTGTCAGGTGGGGGCAAGTGCCTGTTAACTGAGGGGAGGGTGGAGAATGGGGAATGGTCGTGATGAAGATGGGTGTCAGGAGGACATCTCTGGAGAGATAAGGCTTGATCCATCATCTAATGGAAATGAAGAAACTATCATGTGGCAGTAAATGAGAGAAGAGAAATCAAGGCTGAGGGCTGGGGAAAGTGTGTGAGATGGAGGAATGGCATGAGAGCCTTGAGGACTGGAGAGCAGTGAGGCAAGGAGGATGGAGAGGATGTCTACAGCCTGGTGTCCATAGGACGTCAGCACAGGGAAAGCACTTTCTTTCAAATGAGACAAGAAGACACAGAATGGTCTTGAGCCGAAGAATGGCAAGCTCAAATTTTTAAAAAGGACCATGTCTGGCTCTAGACTCTCAACACTCTGTCAATGACAGGAATTACATCAGCTTTTTAAACTCATTGCCGTGGAGTTGGAAGCAACTCACACCAACCCTCCTGTGGGTTTTCTGATGTTGTAAATTGTACAGGAAGAGATTGACCATTTTACTCCTAGTGGATTCGAACCATCAGAGAGGTTACAGACTAATACCACCAGAGGGCAAGTAATTTGTTCTATCAATAGTCCATCCCTTTAGGATCAAAATTTTTATTTGTAAATAAAAAGGCCAAGAAATATTCTCCTTAAGGTTATATAAGGATTTAAAACAAATGAAAACAGAAAAAAAAAAAAGGAAAAAGGAAAAGAATTTGCTCCTGTGTACTGTGTCAATAATTCACGAGGAGGCTTTTAAACTTTAAATCATTACCGTGGAGGCTGAAGAGTATTCCATGAAAGGCCTCTTTATACTTGAACATAGTTTTAAAAGTAAAATGCCAATCTGAGCTAACTGGCTGGTGCATGGCACCTTATCTTCAAGAGTAGTTTATTAACTAGTAATTAATTACAGTAGCCTCCTCCCTTATCGGCAGGTTCACTTTCTGAGGCTTCAATTACACGTGGTCATCTATGGTATGAAAATATTTAAAGTGCACGCCCTTCTGACTGCAGTGATGACATTTTTTTTTTTTTTTTTTTTTTTTTGCCAGCACGCTTTGTCCAGGAGCTGGCTTCCTCTGCCTCAGCTAGAAACAGAAAAAAAATGAGCAGGTGCACCCTGCCTGTCTGCTGCCCAGCAGAACGATTCTGCCCACTGGGCACATCATGGGTCCCTATCGCACGAATGGATGGATGCATGGGAATAACACAGTGTGTGTGTGATTCAGTATCCACAGGTTACGCATCCACTGGGGTTCTCAGAACGTTTCCCTCATGGACAATTGGGGACCATTAGACTACTGGTCCATTAACTAGTAATTATTGCCTAATTTACCCATTAGTTCTTGCACACATTTCAGATTCAAATGTTCTTGTCAGCGGAGGCTGTGTTTTTCCTCTGTACTGTCTCCAGTCTAGATGTAGTGGAAGTTGTAGCTTAATTACTAATATTTTTCAAGACTTCCTAGACAAGGGCCATCAATAGCCTTTCAGTCATAGTAACAAAGACTTAAAATTCAGAAGGTGATGAAAACATTTTAAAGTGATATAAAAGGAAAATGGAATTCCAAGCCACATTGGGTAACTTATGATCAAGATAAAGGCCACCTCTGGAAGGCATCACAAGAACCCAAACTCATGACTTCCTAAAGCCAATCTGCAGTGCCCGGTCTCGTGCTATCTTAGGAAACCAACAAGCTGATAATGCTGCAGGGTTCCACTGCTGTGTCTGTAGCCTCTGAGCCCTAAATGGCCATTGTTAGTCTCTCGGTTCTACTTACTCATCCAGTTTCTGACATTTAAGAAGCTCTGTTGACTCGTGAGGTCAAACATTAGTAGGAAACCCATGGCATCTCTGAAAAACGCAGTGGTGAGGCTCCGGAACCTGCCGAGAAAGCACAGGGGTAGATGTGCGAATTAGTCCACGGACTCAGGATGCAACACACGCACGTATTTCCTCTTCAAACACAAGGTCTCCATAGCGCACCATCCTGGAATGTCCTTCTAAACCGCAAGAGCTGGCAAAAAGCCATTTCAAAGGGATGTTTGGTTGTAGGGTTTTGGGGTCACTCAAAGACTACTGACTGCATAATTCCGTTGTACTAAACACAGAGTTTTAACAGTGCATCCCACACTTACTGACACAACACATAAGTCTCAGTCTTTCTCGGCTTTCACACTATGTGCGCAATTACTTTTAAACATTTCCACTTACAAGAAACATAGACCCCTCTGACCTCACACAACCAGAACCACACAGGCCTCTTCTACTCAGTTATCATTCTGTCAGTGGAATCCTTCTCCTACTGGGCACAATCTCCTTACCTGCTATACACAAATAATCAACAAATTGATCTGCTCTGCCCCTCCCCTCTACCACTGCTCCAGTTCCCCAAAGCCATTATCTCCCACCTGGATTGCTTCCCCAGTCTTATAAATAGGTGTCTCTTCTCCCTCCAGGGAGAACCACTTTGATTCAATCTTTTCCTGAGTGTATTTAACCACTATATATTGTTCTTAGGTAATGCTAAGTTCTTTCATAAGCCACCAAAAACCTTTGGCCAATGACCTTTATGCATCTATCCAACTTTATCTCTTGAGAACCCACAGTTATTCTGGTCTTTTGTTAATTCTTAGATAGCTTTCTTTTGGGTTTTCTTTCACAATATTCCTACTCCCTGCAGAGAACCTCACCTCTCATCTCTTTTCTGCTTGGATGACTTCACTCATGCATCCTTTACAAACAATACATACACAATTCTATGAGAAGAAATGTTTACTCCTGGAACACTCAAGTCTGGATTATGGGCTCCCCCTGGTGGGCCTGCCTACCACCTTTTGTTTCCCCTCACGTTAAAAATTCAGTGACTTGGGTAATAGGGTGGGTGTGTCAGAGACAGTAAGATTGGCACAGGACAGAGCAGGGTTTAGGGCGTTGTACATAGGGTCGCTATGAGTTACAAGGGACTCGATGGCACATAACAACATCAAACAACAACTTTAAAAAACAAAACAAAAAAAGCAAGTTCACTGTCTGTTGACTCCGTGCCAGCTCATAGCTGACCATCCCGCTGGATGTCAGAGGCGGTAAACCGTACACTTGGGAGGAGATTGCTCATCTTCGTTCTGTGGAGCTGCTGGTTCAGTTCCGAGCAGTATCGCTTTTCAATTAGCACTGCAACTCCTTGTGGTTTTGCCAGAGCTCTCTGTTTCCCTAGGAATGTGCTCACGTTATATTGGAGTGCTTAATTATTTATGTATATTCCACAGTAGACTACAAAGTTCAAGGGAAAAGATGCTGTGTTTCCAACATGTTCCCTATATGTGTTTTTTTTTTTCATGGCCCAGAGCATAGCAGTTGCTCACTAAATAGTTGTGAAATTAAAGAAAGTGAAAAGAGAAAAGAATATGCTTTTTAAAAAATATTTAAAGTAGCTTCTGTAAAGAAGGATGTTTATAATACCAAAGAAAGAAGAAAAATGTTCACCAACATTTGTTCATAAAATATAATTTCTTTCCTAGAGCACTGTCACCATTTAAAACTGGAGAGATTAAACAAAGACTTCATATTTTCTTGGTACATTTTCTTGTCAATAGGACCATTTACTGGAAGCTCCTAGAGATTATAGAGCTTTTTCACATTTTTCTCTGTCTTTGAAGACTAATTGAATGACTAAAATTGTCTTGATCTCAATCATAATGTTACAACTAAGAAAAATGATCTCCCCGTGTGTGTGTAAATGTATGTGTATCTCATCAGAGGATAAAACCGTGTTTTATTCCCCTTTCAGTGGTCCACAACACATTATAACATTACTAAAGATATACTTGTTGTATTGATCTTCCTGGAGCAAACACTCTTGGATCCTTTTGCACCTGTACCAACACGGATAGAACACACTTACCTTGAACCAAGCTCACCTCCTGGACCATTCTTCCTGGTCTCATTGTTAGCCTACAGTCGTCCCAGAGTCTCCGCCAAGAAGAAAGATAATTGATGTCTGGTTTCACCCACCACCCATTCTGTCTGGCAAGTAGGAAGGGTGGGGATCACCTCAGGCACATAAACAAACAGCCCAGAGTTGCATAACCTCCCTTTCTTACTCCCTGGAGACTGTGTGCTGTCTCCTGTAGGTTTACACAAGGGGCATGGGTCCTCCTTCCTGCCATGATGTCACTCTTATCAATATCCATTATCTGCTATGGATTGGAGTGCCAGATGTCCTCAGGCACTCGGTTGAGGTGTGAGACTCTGTTTGCCTCACTGCTTAGCAACCCTTCATATATATAGAATGAACAATTCTCAAGGGATGAATAACCCAAGTGTTACAAAGAATGCCCCTAGTATTCCGTCCTTGAGCAGCTGTCTTCAGGGGACAGATGAGAGAAGCCTGCCATCAGGCTAGGCTGACATATCATGCGCCAGGACATATGGGAACCATATTTTCTCTTATTACTTCTTCAAAAAAATGAGTTACATTGGTCTATAAAACATACATCTTTGTGACAACAAAACTGACATGTGAGCAGAGACGCTTGAGAAGCATGACTAGGGAGGAGCCAGCAGTGTTGAAGGGTGTGTGTAAATGGAATTCACAGTCAGCAAAGCTAACAGTGAGGGCCCCGCACCTCTCCTGGCATATAGACTCACTGAAAGTGAGAACATTTTGGATGCATTTCAAAAACGGAAGTGTTTACCAGCATAAACACACTGTGATATGTGGCGCAGACTCTGGAGGTATGAGACTCCTAAATATGTTCTATGCCCACCTACTGAAAAGTTTTATTTAGCTGAGGACAGAAAACCTTCACCAGCTTTGGGACTTTCACACCTCCAGACCTGGGAACTCAAAGAATCGCATTAGCAATGACTATGTAGTGGTGTCCTTGTTCCCATGCATCATTGCTACGGCCTGCAGTCGCTGCTGTCTCATGGTGCCAAGTCGACTCCTACTCATAGTCACACTGCAGGACACAGTAGAACAGCCACATAGGCTTTTCAAGGCTGTTTTTAATCTTTAAAGGGAAAAATTGCCCATGAAATTTCTGTCAGGTCCAAACCACCGACCTTCTAGTTCGTAGTCAAGTAATTAACCATTAGGTGGTGAGGTCCCTGTCACGACTGCTTCAGGGTGTCTACACTGAGGCATTAGAACAGAAACTAGGCCAGTCTCGTCTCCTAAGAAAACATCTTAAAAGAGTCATAATGTCACTAACTGAGACATTACATTCCAAACGTGTTTGTGTATGAATTCGTCTGCATATCTTATGGATGGCCAAAACCATGTCCTGTTCCCCTTTCTACTCTCTCCAGAGCACAAACCTATTCAAAACATGTGTGTTTAGTGACACTATGGTGGCAAACACTAAGAAAGAAAAGAAAAGAAGAGATGTGCTTATTAACAGGGAATATTTAGAAGAACCGATGTCTTTGAGTTGAGGTGCTGGAGAAGAGTCTTGAGCATAGCATTGACCACCAAGAAAGCAAATAGGTCTGTCTTGGAGAGGGTGATACCAAGTTTCTCCTTGGATGCTAGGAATTTGAAGCTCCGTCTCACATACTTTGGGCACATGGTGAGGAGACACTGGTCCTTGGGGAAGGACATCATGCTCTGAAGGGTGGACGGACAGTGCAGGAGAGGGAGACCCCGGATGAGATGGATTGATACAGTGACTGGGGCGATGGGGTTGGTGTGTCAGAGTCAGTGAGACTGGCTCAGGACAGGGCAGTCTTCAGAGCTGCTGTAGATAGGGTCGCTATGGGTCACAGACTACTTGATGGCACATAACAATGAAGGGATGAATCCATGCAGTTCTAATACACCAGCGGCTCCTTAGGAGAAAGATGGGCATTCTCCCCCTGTGTGATTTACAGCCTCCCAAAACCACCTGGAAGGTCAGTGATGAGCCGGCTCCAACTGAACTACACGTAATAGCAACAAAGCGATGACCGATTTGGGTTGCAGGAGTCCAGAAAGATGAGGGAGAAACTCTCAGCAACAGAGTTCAGAAAGTTTTCAGGGAGGAGGTGGCACGGAAGATGAGCCTGGTTGATGCAGACCAGGAAGATGGGCAAAGCATTCTAACAGGACGACTGTGATGTGATTAGTAAAATGTAAATGCTCAGACATCTGGGTGGAAGAACAAGAGAGGAGATGAAAAAGGTATTAACACCCTGCCCTGTAAGTACTCATTGTAGCACTTACAAAGATGTTAATTTCTCAACTTCTTTAAGAGTGGGGGGAACTTAACAAAAGAGGAGATAAATAGTGTATACTGCATTGAAACAGATGAGGGAGAGAACTGTTTAAAAGGGATATGTGATTAGGTATTATTGTCATGACAGGAGTCCAGAATGAAGGTTGCATAGTGGAATGGACTTAGGGGGAGGGATTGTATAACAGTGAAAGAATTTTTCTTTTACTCTTCAAAGAGAAGAATGAACTGGGAGTGGGGAGGGGTAGACAGGGAGAAAAGTGCAACAATGAATGAATGGAAACCCAAGGTCTCTGTAAACTTTCATTAAAATTAATTATTAAAAAAATGTAACCCCCCCCCCCAAAAAAAAGAGTTAACTAACTGTCTCCAGAAAAGGCAAAGAAAATGCATAATAAGAATCTTCAAGGAGAGCTTTGATAATCTGAGTTTTTACATCTGGGGCCAAATATAGAATGTTAACTATAGTTTGACAACTAGCCATGAAGTGTAAGAAGTTCAAACTCACTTGGAGGTGCCTCAAAAGACGGCTCTGGTCATCTGCTTCTAAAAGGTCCAAAAACCTTGGCATTTGGTAGAGTAACTCTGCTCTGCATACTTGAGGTCTCTACACACCAGCATTGATTCACTTAACAACAACAATAAGGGAGCTCTGATGGTGTAGTGGTAAGAATCTGCACTGCAATATGAAAGGCACATGGTTCAAATCCATGAGGTGCTTAGCAGTAAAATGATGGACAATCTCCCTCCATGTGGTTTATCCCGTGTGATTTACTGCTTCTGAAAACCAGCCAGAGTCAGCTACGGGCTGGGTCTGACTTGATGGCAAACAACAACAGTAACGGTTAAGATCAAACGTTAAGTGAGTTGTGGTCACATAGCTGATAGAGAATTGTGCTGTGAAGTCAAAAGTGGAGCTGCTCTGGAGTTCAAATCCACTCCTGGCTTAGTGTGAGGCTGGGCAACTTCCTCTCATGTGATTTCCTGCTTCTGAAAACCTGCTCAAGGTCAGCTGTGAGTCAGTTGGACTCAGTGGCAATGAATGAGTAAATCTTAGTTGACTACCTACAAAGAATGTCTTTTTCTCTCAAACAAAAGACAAATGCTTGTCTCAAAACCAGGAGAAAAGTTGCATGTTATTTTTGCACAAGATTCTGTTGCTGGCTGCCTTCGAGTCCCTTCAAAGCATGTTCACTCCTCTCACAACAGAATAAGAGGCCCAATGAAATAACCACGCTTGGTTGTTGATTTGAACATTGTGATCAATAAGCATTTCATTGGCTGATTTGGCAATAATCCCCTGACCCTTCTTCTCTGTCTTAGTTTGGAAGCATCATAGGAATCTGTTCGACATCACAGTTACATGACACCTCCACTGACTGCCCGTGGCAGCTTTACAGGAAGGGAACTGCCTTAGATCCCTTGCATGGAAAATAAGAATTCTACCACTGAACCACCAATACCCCAAGTTCACATGTAACATTTATTTTAAAATGAAGTTGTAAGCAAGAATTCCGCTACTGAACCACTAATGCCCCCAAGTTCACACATATCATTACTTTTAAATAAAGTGAGGGTTTCTAGGTTTTCTAGGTAGCTGGAAATAATGTCATTTTACTATTACCGCTCTTGTCCTGCAGTGTCCCAAAGCTGAAGATGCACCTTGAAAGCTTTCCCGGAAGATCCATTTGGTCCTTGTGTGTTGTAAACCTGAAACAAACACTTTGCGTGAGGCGATTCGCCTTTGGAGTTTGTCAGCATTCATATTCCCTGGGTTCACACGGCATGTTTTTTCTCGATTACTATAATCAAAGTTCATAGTGCAGAATAAATATTTGCTCTGCTCTTCCAGAAGTATCACATAGACTCTCACTTCGAAATGTCAAGTACAAATACGATTTTCCAACACAATTTAGGCATACTGCAAACTTAAATTAGACACCTTCTGTCATTTCCTCGTGGAGGCAGCAGGCATTCGACTGGGGCCCTGAGTTCCAAGTTCAAATACCAACTCTCCCTTTAGCTTGTTTGAAGCTTATTATTACATCTGCAGACTGACACTCCTAATCTCTTCCCCCTTCAGAGCTGCTGCAGATTTAACCGAAATAATAAATGTGAGGGCATTTGCTCAGCAGTGAAAGGTTTGCAAATAGCTGGCATCCTTTCTGGGCGATGAATTAATGTCTAGAATATCTCAGGAAGTTGGTTCAGGACATTCCTAACTTTGCTTTACTGACCATTTTTTCAAAGACTTTTTTTTAAAGAATCATTTAACATTTTAAAAGCAGAGATTTTTTTTTTTACCTTTTTACTATTTTAGCAAAAGACAACTTTAATTATTTAAATAGCTCTCTGACAACATGGTTCAAAGGGAAAAGTTTACAAGGTCTTATATTCACATTGAAAGAGCCTTTTGATTTAGATTAAACCTTGGGCTACTCACCAAAAGTTCAGCAGTTCAAATCCACCAGCCACCCAACGAGACAGATGAAGCTATTTGCTCCCATAAACATTTACTGCCTCAGAAGCATGACGGAACAATTAATTCTATTCCATCTTGTTAGGTTATATGAGTCAGTATACCAAGAGGGATAGGGTGTGATGGAGATAGGGTAAGGAAAATAAGAGGCGGGGAAAACATTGGAAAAGGTCTGTGTTTGCACTACAAACACTGTTTTATACTACAATGTATTGACTCCAAGATAAGGTACAGGATATGACAAGAAATCATAGTTCTCAGGCAATGGCCTCCCCACTCCCATTTCCACCACGTCCTTTGTTTTCTTTCCCAGTTCTCAAGGAAGGAATAGCTTTGTGACTTCAACTGGAAGCCACAGCCATGTTGGCAACCAGGGAGACCTTGGGTGGCAGCAAATCTGGCTAAGCGTATGTGTCTATGCTTCACGTCTCACATGTCGCAATTATTCTTATTCCTGTCATTAGCGTCTAGCGTGGGAGAAGGAAGTGATTGCGATTCTCACTTAAAGCCCCTTATCTTGGAAAGTAGCATGGCTGGGTCTCACATTCTGTTCAAAATAAACCGTGATTGATGGCTGAGTCTACACATAAATAAAAATGCAGCAGGAAATTAGAAAGCTCATGTTTCAGCGATTTGTCAATCACATTTTTCAACCACTTTCTCAAGAGCAGGGAAATAAAACCCTTGTGTGGATGGGAGAATCTGAGATCAAGGGCTAATGTGTTTGGATTCTGAAGAATTCAAGCCAAAAGATTTTTAAAGATTCCTTTAGGATGCATAGAAAACACACAATCATGCTATACAAATCCACAAGTTTATCTTTTCATTGCCCTGTATTCTTTGGGAGTGAAAAGATAGTGCCACTCAATATTTTTCTAAGCAAGATGTTATTTATAGTTTAGAAAATAATAATAATGTTCTAAAGTAAATCAAATGACAGATTACAAATTTCATCTAATAAAAAGAGCGACACCTGGCAAAGGCAAATGTGTGGCTTCCTATTTTTTTTCTACTCTAATAATTTATTTTTATTTTTGTCTTCATTATTGCTGTTGAGAATAGACACAGTGAAACATATGTCAATTCAGCAATTTCTACATGTAAAATTCAGTGGCACTGACTTATTTGAATTATTTGAATTCTCCTTTCCTGAGTTCTTCCTCCTCCTCCAATATAAGCTCACTGATGCCTAAACTTCCTATCTAATCTTTCCAGTTGCTGTTGTCACTTGAATCCTAGAAAGATAGACTTTTAGAAGAAGAAAAAAATTGTTGAAGCAATGCATAGCTTTTTAATTCTTATTTGATGTAGGGGTATTAACATACAGGTTAGACTATCAGAATTAAAAACTCACCACGCGTTTTTCCCGAAAGTCTATTCCGACTGTTGTGATGAATTTGGGATTGAATTTATTGTCCGTGTATCTATAAAGAAATGTCGTCTTCCCCACCCCTGAGTCTCCGAGGGCCAGGAGCTTGATCAGATAATCATAGTCCCCATCGGTCATAGTGATGGTCTTGGTGGGCCTGTGAGGAGAAGAAACACAGGCTTGTGATGACTGAAGTTAGCTTTCCCTTATCTCATACTAAAACACAGCATACATTTCCTTTTCAGGGCTAGAATATCAATTGTCTGTGTGCTGTGAGAGGTTGAATTAACTTGTTCAGACCAGCTTTAGGGTTGAAAGTGCTTTTCTTTAGTTAACTCAGTATAGCATTTTGGAAACATGTCAGTTAATATGAGGAGAGAGAAAAAAAGTTATGTGCTATTCAAAATAACAATTACCATAGCAATAAGAGAGTATAAGTAAAAAAAAAAAATCCTAGAGTTTTGTTGTATTTTTTTAACATATGTAAAATATATATTGAATATTTGCCCACAAATATTGTGAAATACATTATCTTGCAGCATATTGTTTTCAGGTTAAAAATGTCAGAAACAAACACCAGTATTTACAATTCTTTTGTGTCGTTTTTAACCAGTTCCTTTGGAGGTTAGAAGTGTGACGCTATGAAGAAAATAGAAACACAGAAAGCAGAAAAATCAGTCCCAGATGATGCTGGAATGCTAGAGACAGACCAATACTCTGTAGGGTCAGTGGAGAGAGAAAGTCGAAGGGAATATTTTTCATCTAATTATTCAGAGTAAATTTTCTTTTAAGTACATGCAAAACAGTCCTCATTTAATTTAAAATTCAACAACTGGTCTGACAAACTTGAAAAGCATTAATTTGAAATGATATTGGAGTCTATGTTGAAAACCTTTTATTTCAACACACACACGTCTTTGTTTTCCAGGAGCAGATTTGTTGTATTGACTGCACTCTGGTCTAATTTCCAGGATTTGAAAGAGGCAAAACGATGTATGACAGCACTATTAACGGCTATAAAGTGTTATGGGAAGAGATTGCCTGTCTTTCTCCCTCAGAGCCAATGGTGGATTTAAACCACTGGACAGCAGTAACATGAAAAGCACCAAGTACGATTAGATTTATTGTTGTTGTTTATTGTAATGACCCTACGAAAAAAAAGATCCTTTCTATAACTATCATTGTTTCTCAAAGTTCATAGAGTTTACAAAGGCATGTTGTTTAGGAAGTGGATGCCACTTCTGCTTCCAAACTTGTCTTAAACGGCGAGCTCCACCAAACACTGTCCTCTATGGGTAATTGTTATGACATTTAACACCCCAATGGCACAAGGTTCAGTATCACAGCAACCTCAGGTTAACTCAGTATAACAAATTAACAGAAGAGTGCTGTATCTTAGAAGAATGTCCTTTAAAAATATAATAACAACTGCATTTTAAATACAAAGGCCCTCCACAAGGTCTACTAGACTTATTATGAATATCTATTTTTTAAAAAAAGGTTTCTTTTTAAAGTTAGAATGTGTCAAGATATACCAATACATAAATGTTTATTCTCCAAAGTTTCTTCTCCCTCTAACCTTTTATGACTAAGTAGAATTCCCAAGGTAAATGTTTGCTGATGGGGAACTTCCTTTTTCTATTTTAATATCTAGACAAAGAATACCATTGCTCAGTAGGAGATGCATAGCAGTACCTACATTTCCTTAATAAAAGGATACCACTAGTGTCACACTGGGCGTTCCTGTGGCCTCGTTGGTAGGGAGTTGCAATGCTAACTCAAAGGTGGGACCTTCTTGGTGGTTGGAATCCACCAGCAACTCTGTCAAAGAAGCTGGGAAATCACCTTCTGTGGAATTTATAGCCTCTGAAAGCCCATTAGAAGGTCAAGTATGAGTTGGTTCCACTTGACAACCACTAGTTAAGGGTCCAGTTAGGAGTTCTGGCAATGCAGTGGACTCTGCAGAGAAAGATGAGGTGATCTACTTCCATAATGGTCCATGGCCTGGGAAACTCTACGTGCCAGTGCTACTCTATTGTGTAGGATTGCCACGAGGTGGAGACAACTTAACAACAATTGGTTTGTTTTTGGTAATGTCACATTTATAGACAAGAAATTCTTAGAAAGTAACCCAGCTTATTTTGGCCTGTATTGATTGAGGGACTCAGTGAGATATTTTTTTTTAAAAAAATATTAATTTTAATGAAAATTTAGAGATTTTGGCCTTCCATTCATTCATTGTTGCACTTTTATCCCTGCCTACCCCTCCCCCCAGTTCGCTCTTTTCTTTGAAAAGTAAAAGAAAAAGTCTTTCATTGTTTTACAATCCCTCCCCTCAAGTCCACTTCACTATACAGCCTTTGTTCTGGACACCTGTCATGACAATAATACCGAATCACAGAACATTCAGGATGTTTCATTGGGTCTTTGAAGTTGAAGTTGTTGCCTTTAGGTTTTGCCTGAATGCAACATTTCTGACAAAGTATTTTGCATTTTCCCTACTCAAGATCAGAGGAGCCCTAGTGGTATGATGCGGTTACTAATTTAAAGACTGAGTCCACACAAGGCCTTTGCAGAAGAAAGATTAAGCTCTCTGCTTCTATTAAAATTATAGACTAGAAATCTTATAGGACAGTTCTAACTGTGTCACATGGGGTCACTGTGAAGTAAAACTCAACTTGATGGCTCTTAAGATCTATCTCTACAGCTATAAGTCTATCTTTTTTCATTTTTCTGAAAATTTGCTTGTCTTAAACATGTTTGAGGGTTAATAAAGACTGCCATTTTACCACAAAAATAGGAAGAAACAAGTTTCTTTTGGGAAAACAAATAAACCAAATAGCAATTCTTTAAGAGAAAGAGAAACCCTCTCTTCCTGCTGATATTTACAGCCTCTAAAATCTGGTAGAGAGTCACAATGAATGGGAACTGACTCAATGGTATTGAGTTTTAAGGTAAAAATATTATGGTAAAATTCATCACTAAGCACATGACTTGATGGTCATAAAGAAGAAATGGAAGCAATTCACTGGTTAAATAGAAGCTAAAGTTGATGAACCCAGTGGTTCATACATAGAATGAACATAATGGGAACCAGAAGTTGTTTCTATATTGAAAAATTTTGCTCAATTAACAATCTTTTACAGCAATATTTGTAGGTGTATGTGTGTTTGTGTGTGTGACAGTGTCAAGAAAGACTGCCTTGAACAAATATCATTAAATACTTTCAATATTTTAATTTGCCTACAGATGAAAATTCAAAAAGTTTACTTCAAAATCTAGTCCCAGATAAGACATGAACATACTTGAAAGTTAAGTAAGAGCATACAGCATACTTTTGCAAGATAGGACATGAGTGATTATTAAATGAATGAAGTAGATGATGTGTTTTGGATTAAAACAGCACAAGGATCTTCACACACTGAAGAGCTGAAGACTTATTACAGGAAAAGATGAATTTGTATTCAAACTTGATACCACAGAGAGGAATTAGACATGAAGAGAGGGGGATAGGGAAACATTATGATATTACTTCCCACTTTTAGAACGGGACTGGCACTTCTTGCCGATTACATGACCTACATGCATTCCAGACTGGCAGCCAATTTGTGTCTCTGTTATTTGTACCAAATCTGTACAAAGCCTGGGGTTAATGTTGGGGCTGCCTCTCAAGCAAGTTACTATCCAGGAACAGTCCACTCACACATAGATCAATTCCACTGTGGTCCACACTGATTTTTCCCTATAAGTGAAGGGAAATGGACACGATGACGTTTAGCACCAATTCTACCCAAAATGAATGTAGAAATTGGAACTATAGAAAACTCATTTTGTGTTCCAATTAAAAAAAAAACAACACAAAACACCAAACACCACAACTCATTGCCATTGAGTCAGAATAGACTAACAGTTGACTTTCCAGCAGATTTTCAGAGGCTGAGAGGAGACTGACCAAGTTATCTTCCATGGAGAAGCTTATGGATTTGTAACACCTGCCTTTGGGTTGGCAACCCAACTCCTTACCTAGTAGGCTACCAGAGCTCCCTAGTGCTCCAGTAGAGAAAGACAATTGACATCGAACCTATATATGGAAGAGTCCACCTATCAATTTCTTTTTCTTTTCTTTTTATGGAATTTATTGCTCATTTTTATAACAAGATCCTTTCTCCATGCCTAATTAATCTGCTGTTGTTGAGTGCCGTCAGGTCAGAACCAACCCATAGCTGACTCTTCAGTGGGGTTTCAGAGGCAGTTAATTGCACAGAAAGAGACTGTTTTTCTCTTATGGAGCAGCAGGTGGATTTGAAATGCCTTCAGGATAGCAGAACAGCTTCTTACGAGACCACCCGAACTTCCTATTCAGTCTCTATACTGAATGAATCGTTTGTGAAGCTGGACGCCATGAAGAAAAATGTAGCATCAGGACAGGAGGAAGATTCATCAACCACTTGTGTTATGTAGATGTCACAACCTTGCTTGTAAAGAATGAGAAAGATTTGAAATATTTGCTGCAGAGGATCAAAGATTTCAATATGGATTCAATATCAAGAAGATAAAAACATACCACTAGACCAATAGGAACCTTTGTAATAGATGTAGGAAAGATTGAAATTGTCAATGGCCTCATGGATGGCATTAGACAGATCTGCAGTCAGGGACTCCTCCAAAGTACTGAGAAGCAACAATCTTGCTTTGAAGATTTAGATGCATCTGGTTTGGGCAATGCTATTTTCAGTCTTTTGCTATGTATCAGAGAGCTAGATAATGAGTAAGTATGAAAGAAGAAAAATTGATGCCTTTGAGTTGTGGTGTTGGAGACGACCACTGACTGTGGCATGGCATGCCAAAAGAACAAACAATATTTCTTGGCAAAAGTGCAGCCAGAGTGCTCCTTGGAAGCAAGGCTGGTGAAGCTTCATCTCACATACTTTGAGCATGTTGTTAGGGGAGGCCATTCATTGGTGGATAGCTTGGAAAGGAGAGGGAGATCTTCAATGAAATGGAATGCGGTAGCGACAGCAGCACTGGATTCAAGTGTTTTGGAGATGAGGAGTATAGCACAGGAGAGAACAGAGTTCTGATCTGTTATTTATATAGTTTTAATCAACTCGATGGCACCTAACAACAACAATATACACAATTTTGCATCCTGTGTTTTA